TGTTCTTTGAACTCGGAGCTAATTCAACCAAATCACCGTATGATGAACCTTACCAGACGTGAGGATTGCGTTCATGTAAGCTTTCCGTGTAGCTCACTGAGTCAAGCTTATTCCAAACGAGAGTTACAGTTGCATGACATTTTTGTCAAGAATCAGTTTAGAACTATAATTTCTGAAAAGAGCAACCTCTTGAATACCAAACCCAGTGCTTCATTTTCTCCTAAATTTTCCAGCTTTTGGCTCCACCATGCTCTTCCTTTTACTTCAATGACCCTCTTGTTGAATCATCGGTCATATTCTTCATCTCTGAGTGGCAAATTAAGTAGAGATGGAACCACAGATTTTGCACCTGATTCTATTGATGCAAGTGACTGGACTGATGAACTGACTCCATTTCTTCAACAGTTGCTCGACTCAAATCCTTACCTCAATGATGTGGTTATTCCAGTTGGTGGTACATTGACTGCCACTCTAATAGCATGGACTGTGATGCCTCTGATCTTGAGGAAATTTCACGAAAATGCATTGCAAAGTTCTGCAGCAACATTTCTGAGAAGCAAATATGGTGCGCAAGTTCCTCATGAGAAAAGCTTGTGGGGTGCTTTGGAGGATCCACTGCGATATTTAGTTGCCTTCGTGGCATTCTCACAGATGTTAGTGGCTTATCTTTGCATTATAAGTGTTTTGCTGTGATCACTTCAGTGGTTGTATTTATGTAAGTGACAGAAAACGTTTATTTCCAGTTGTGTAATGGTAGCTCCAACAAGTGAAGCCCCACAGCAACTAGCAGAGGCTTGGAGGAAGGCAGTGATGTTGTTATTTACGTGGTTTTTGCATCGATGGAAGACAAATATCTTGGGACACATGTCGTCCAGTCAGAGTTTACTTGGGCATGGTCAACATAAATTGCTTACTCTGGACAAAGTCTCATCTGCTGGTGTATTTGGGATTGGTACAATGGCTCTGGCCGAGGCTTGTGGTGTCTCTGTTCAATCTATTGCCACTGCTGGCTGCATAGGAGGTATCTAAGTATTAACAGTCATTTGAATCTGCTCACTTTCATTTTCCTACGTCTTTTGATTTCTGCGGTTTTTTTAATCAGCATGCAAAATACATAGATAATGTCTCAGCTTTTGGGTCATTATGAAGTTCCTTTTTGGTACATGGATGTAATTAAATTTTGGTTATCAATAATGCAGAGTGTGTGTGTGTGTTGTGTGTTTTTTTTTTTTTTTTGCGCAAACATATGACGTGGTAATTAATAATAACATAAGAAGTGCACATCGTGTACCTCTTTAGATAACTAAATTCAGATTCATGCACATGCAGTCATTTCAACAATTTAGACAAAAATAATTATATTATTGAAATCTGACACTTCCATGATTACATTTTTGACAAATTGAGTAGGGAGTTTTTGGCTTTTTTTTTTCAATTAAAGAAAATTTTTTAACTGAGAAGTTTAAATGCTTAGCGTCTCAATAGACCGGTGATAGATCTATAAGAGGCAAAAGCCTCAAACTATTATTATTAGTAGCAGAAAAAGCTTCTTTGTAGTTTGTATGTAGGGTAAAGATAAGTGCTCAAGATAAATTCTAAATACTCAGGACTCCCTCTGTTTAGCTTACTATTTCATGTTGGACTCTGATGTATCTTTCTGAATATTCACTGAAATCTTCATACGTTCCCCTTGTTCTTGATAACTTACTATTATTGGAGGATTAAAGTTTTCAATATGCTTGTTTTACTAGACAAAATTTTGGTGAATGCTAGTTAGAATTTCCTAAACTACTAAGAAATGGATGGCTTGACCTTTTCTTTTATTGTTTATGCAGGACTTGCCATAGCTTTTGCCGCCAGAGACGTCATTGGCAATGCGTTCAGTGGATTGTGTATGCAGTTCACGGAGCCCTTTACAATTGGAGATACAATCAAAGGATGTGAGAAATCTGACCTGGTGCAACTTGCGGTTTTTTCTTTTTTTTTTCTTTTTTCATTTTAATGGGCACAAGTTATTTGCTTAAACATGACACTGTATGAAGTGGGTTGTGATATTTCTGCAATTAAATGTAGGCTGGGTCAGTGGAAGGAGAAGTTATTGAAATGGGAGTGACAAGCACATCATTGGTGAATGCCGAGAAGTTGACAGTGGTAGTGCCCAACTCATTTTTTTGCAGCCAGGTGAGCATCCATTCCGCCTCTTTTCTTGCCAATCAATCCCATTAAAGTGGAACAGGTAGTCTTTTGCCTGGTAAAGAGGAATAGAGGAAAATCGAAGAAAACATTTATAAAATTGTTAAACAAAATCTCTTATTTAATGATAGAGTATAATCACATAGTGTAATTTACGTAGCCAATCCCATCTAGTGAGATAAAACTTGTTGTTATTGTTGTTTTTACTTGCACAAACTCAATTTATCATAGTCGCTTTTGCTGACCCTCATTAATCTTTTAGCATTTTAAAATTATATATTAATTGTAAAATATATTGATTTAAAGCTTTTTTAAGACTACGAGTGATTCATCATATACAATTATGAATGATTTTTGGTGCAATGACAGTTTTGCATGCGTAAAACTTGATAGGTAGTAGTGATAAAGAGTCGAGTCGAATGGCACAGCATGATGTCAAAGATTACTGTGAGGATTGAAGCGATAAATAGAATTTCCAGAATAACAGATGATATAAAAAGTATGCTAGCTACAAGCCCCATGGTTTTGTCGGGGAAAGGGGACCCTTACTGTTACTTGTCCCGCATTGAAACTTCATACGCAGAGTTGACACTTGGATACAACCTCAAACACATGGTACGTGACACATTAATTTGCAGAATGAATGTATGATTAAAGTGTTGTCGTCATGTTAGACACCGTGATTCCAAGTGTGGTGCAGGGCAAAGATGAGATGCGTGGGGCAGAACAAGACATCGTTGGGGAGGCCGTTGAGATTACCAAGAGGCACGCTGCTGAACTTGGCCTTCTCACCTCTTCTTCATCTGATTCTGACTGATGCACAGGGCTTCTCTCTGCTTCCTTTGCTGAAGCCTCGGTCACAACTTGAATGAGCTTCATCAGATCATCTCGGTACTATCGTCCGCAGCATCTGGACATGTTGAGTCACCGATGTCGCCACATCCCAGAGCAAGTGTAGCCTCGATTCGATCTAGGCCAGAAGATCACCATCCATTATAGCTTCATACGATTCTTGTCTTTTAATCACTCCTATCCAGATATCCCAGCGCCATGAGAGAGAAACTAAAAACAACTTCTGAAAATTAGGACTCTAGTTTAAAAATCCAAAGATCAGTCGAAACCTGAAACCAAATTTTTTAAATTCATGTATTACAGTATTAGTTGCATTTTTAAATTCAAAAGTTTTACTTACAATGCATGATGCACTTATAAAACATAAAAAATTAGATATTTGTAATTGTATCTCAATTTTCAATATTTATAATTAATTTGTTCTTTTTCAACTTTTTAGAACTTGTCAACTTTGCTTTCAATTTTTTTGAATGTCGCCATGTCTCTGATTAACGAAGTATATATTTTGGTATGATATATTTTCTTCAAAGATCAACTAACCACATGATTTTTAATTCTATTTTTCTGAATTAGGGTGTTTTGGCCTTTTGATAGGGGAAGTATGGGCCCTTGAAGCATTACTCTTTTTGCCTCTTTTTATAAAATTCGGAAGCCTTTCATTTTTTTGAACGTAAAACTATTTACAAGAGATATATATATATATATATATAATATATATATATTTATAACATTTTTATAAGTGCCTCTCATAAGTATATTTTGCAAATATTCATATTCTTTTTTTCAATGCTGTGATTTATTAAGTTTGGAAGAAAGATTAAATTAAAATGATACTTTGTGGTAGGAGAGAAAAGTGAGGGAGAAATATCATTTTCTTATGCTTGGCTATGGAGAAAAAATTGAAGGGGAGAGAAAAATAATATGTAGGATTTACATATTTTTACTTATAACTTTTTTATTTAAATATGAAGAGATTTTTGGGGAGAGAAACTTTTATTTTTAAATATACCCACCAATTTTTAAATTTTATATTTATAATGTAGTTACATTTTGATCATGATCAATTTTTGTTAAACAAATAGCATATTTATTTTTTTACTAAAAGTAGTGTATTTAATTTTCAGATTAATTAGACAAATGTTAATTCTAAATTTTCAACCAAGTTATTTATATTTGGTTGTAGTTTCAAAATTTTAAAATTATTATAATTTAATAATTAAGTAAACAAGATTATAAATCAGAAAAAATAATTTTTAATTGGATAAAATAATTTGTTATTATATTTGTATTCAATTAATAATATATGATAGAAATTATTAATATATATATATATATATATAATATGTTAAAAGTTTAAATTTTATTACATATAAATATTTTTATAAATAATAAAGTTAGTATTGGTTATATAAAATTAACAAATTTTCTCTTTTTCTTATTTTCTTTTGTTCAGTGAAGCATGATGGAAAAAAATTGTAATCCTCTTATTTTTTTTCTCTTTTTTATCTTCCTCAGTAGCAAAGCACGGCACAGAGGTAGTTTTAAAATGTTTTAATATTTTTTGGAGAAAAATTAAAATCCTTAAGTAATTTTACCCACTAATTGCTATTTGGATCAAAGCATGCTATTAAGGGAATATTTTCCAGGTCTTTCCTTTTATTTTCCAAACATGCCCTTTTCTTTCTATAGTGGAATGGAATTTTCATTGATTCGTGAGCTTGCGGAGAGGTTATCCTATTTAAAAAAAAAAAAAAATTCTTTGTGTCATCATATTGTTATATTTTCGCTACACTGTTTCTTACAAGTAACAGCGTAATTTATTTTAGCTGCATAGAGCTATCCGATTACTGGAACTAGATTCGATGCAACGATGGCTTTTCACGAATTATATATGACAATTCTTCATTTTTCAGTTTAAAAAATAAGGTTTCGGTTTTATTCCTCAATGATTTCTAATCATCATGGTTGCATGACTCCACTTGTCATTCCTTCAACATTCTTGCATGACCATGAATGTTTCTCTGCCCAGCGGACATCCTGATTGTCACGTTGGCCATGCAGATTCCGGTGAAGGGGTCACCGGAAATCCCTCTCAACAGAGCTGCGGTGGTCACATCCTCAGCCACTATATCTCTATAATGAATACCTTTGATCAGAGGCAAGGCCTTAGGATCAAAGTTGTTATCAGCATTGGAACCATAATCACCAGTCGTAAAGAATGCCCATGGTGCACGGTCATTTTCTTGACGTATACGTCCTTCACAGACCCGCCTCTTCCTCTAGCTGTTTTAATTTTGATTCCAGATTCTGTTTTAATGGCTGTAACATCTTCGACTCTCACATCTTGGATGCCTCCAGACATCTCGCTTCCCAAGGCAATGGCGGCGGAATAAGGAGAAATACACGTAAGTCGTCTGATGATCAATTGTTTGGTAGGCCATCCAAACTTGATGCCGTACTCGTCCGATCCACTCTTAAAAGCCACACAGTCATCTCCAGAAATTATGTAGCAATCTTCAATTCCGGTGTTGGTGCAAGAGTCTGGCGATAAAATCGAGAGGAAGATATTGAATATTAATTAATTTGTGTGGTTTTTGCATCAATGGAAAACAATTATGTTGGGACACACTTCGTCCAGTCTAAGTTTTCTTGGGCTTGGTCAAGATAAATTGCTTGCTCTAGAAAAATTCTTATCTGGTGTTCTGTTTGTTTTTGGTGTAATGGCTTTAGCCGAGGCTTGTGGTGTTGCTGTGCAATCTATTGTAACTGTTGGTGGTATAGGAGGTTTTTAAGCATTAACAGTCAATCGAATCTGCTCATTTTCATTTATACACTTTCACCATCCTTAGTTTCCCCACGTCTTTTATTTTCTGCAGTGTTTATACTAGGATGTAATATATATATATATATATATATAATGTTGTAGGTTTTAGGGCGTCAAAATTTATTGCTGGTACGTGAATCTAGTTGAAAATTAAAGGATAAAGTAAGTATCATTTTAGAAGGCTGAAATTGATAATGAGCATGGAATGTAACTTTATTATTTTCCACTTGCTCTTGTTGATCTAATGTTATTGTCCTATTCACATTTTCAATATGCTTGTTATGTGACAAAGTTTTGGATCTTCATGTAAGAGTTGCCACTGCTCTTGCTACCAGAGAAATCCTTGGCATTGTATTTGTCTATGCAGTTTTCGGAGCCCTTTAAAGTTGGAGATATAATAGAGGTAAGCCATTAACTAACTTGGTGCAACTTACCGTTTTCCCCTTTCCAATGATCAAATTGCTTAAACATGTCATATCATAGCCGTGAGTTCTGTACTCGCAGTTATTTATGGCAAATTGCGAGATTCTCAATTTTTAATACTCAAGTGCTTTGCGCCAACAGCCCAACATGGCCCCTGTGAATCATTCTATGTATAGAAAAATATAAATGTGTTGAATGTAACATATCGAACTAGAAATAAGGTTAAAATATCCAAGGGGCCAACATAAAATTTGAGGATTTTAATGAAGTTAGAGATAAAACTGAGCAACCCAAACATGTATAGTTGTGGGAATACAAGTGTGAAGAGGAATTTCTGAATTCTGGATATTATAAGGAAGCTGTCCCTCAATGGAAGTTTGATCCCATTGTATAATTTATTTATCTGATTATAGTCTGAGGAATTGACGCAATCGTAGGCTGGGCCGGTAGAGGGTGAAGTAATGGAAATGGGACTGACAACTAACTACATTATTGCTGAATTCTGAGAAGTTCCCTGTTGTAGTGCCAAACTCGCTTTTTTCCACCACTTATTTATCTGCTGCTCATGGTTGATGGTACAGTTTAAACTGATAGCTTCACTCTGTTCTCACTTGACCCATCATCATGTTATAATTCTGCTGTCTTCTCAGTAAAAAAAAACTTAATTTTGAGACTACTATCCACTTGTTCATCATAAGGGTTAATAATTTCTTTGTGATGATACCTCTTGCATGCAAAATTTGTAGGTAATAGTGAACAAGTCTCGTGCTGAATATTGCACCATCACATCGCAAATTCCTTTCAAGATTGGCGATTTGAGTAGAATCCCCAGGATAGCAGATGATATAAAGAGCATGCAAAAAACAAAGAATGTGGTTTTCTTAGGAAAAGAGGCCCCTCACAACATTGAAAGATCATGCGCACAGCTGACTATTGGATACAACATCAAGTTCATGGTACGTACCTCTCCTCCTTTCCCATCTCTACAACAATTTCATGTCATGCTATCTTGTCAAGTAAAGTGTTCGATTAAGACATTTTCAATATATTCCAAAGTATTACCATGTTTGTATCATCAAATGTTTATTTGGTATCAGAGCAAAGATATGATGTATAGTGCAGAACAAGATATACTGGTGGAGGTAGTTGAGATTATGAAGAAGCATGGTGGTGAACTTGGCCACCCCTGCCATCACTGGTCTTATGATTCTGAATGACCTTTCAAATAGCTTCTACATGGAACATGGAGGCCATGATTTCAAGATTTGCAATGAGATAAGAATAATTATTTTGCAACATTTTGTCAATAAAGATTTTGCCTGTTTTTTGAATTAAAAATAAGAATAGATAACTTGTATCATTGTGTAATTACAATAATATCATCAACATTATTGAGAAAGCTTTACATTTATCCTCAATATTGGGAGAATTAATATCTACTATCGGGAGAATTTACCTTGTGTCCCAAAAAAAAAAAAAAAAGAATCACATAGGCCAAAGTAGAGTGTATTAGAGAAGGAAGCCCAATATCTAGTAATTAGAAAATATATTAGAAATATATAAAGTTAGGAATATTTTTAAACATTAGCTATTTTGATAAAATAAACAATACTATGATAATTGATGTTTTGTCCTTGTATTTTTTTTGTGGGTTTGCTCTAGCTTTAGGCTTTTATTACTTCTTTAGTTTGTTTTATTAGTTTAAACTTGACTTTCATTTTGTTGAATGAAGTTCCTCGTATTATTAAGAGAAAAAAAAGTATGCAGTTTTTAAGCATACTTAATATAAAAAGTTATTTTAGCTTAAGCTATCACATTTCATCCATTCAATAACTGGGAATTTCCAATATGCTCTAGCGCCAGCTCCCTGGGAATACTTCCCTAACCGAAACCCAGCAATACTCGCTGCTTCATTAATGCAATACAAACACCACCTTACAGCTAGGCATTTTTATTTTTTTCTTATCCTTAGAACAATACATGACTGGCAAGTTTTATCCGCGTAACCTAATCAATTAAAAGAATCACGTGTTATTTCTCTGTTGATGTAGTTGCCACAAAGAAAGAATGGAGCAAAGAAAAATGATTGAGCTTTGATTTGAAGAATGACAACTATGAGATGCTCATCCTTCCTCGAATCTTTAAATCTAATTCAAGAGTTTTGATCAAAGCTTAAAGTGGGCAACAGAAGCAGATTCTCTCAAGCGCTCAATAATCAATATCCCCCCATGTTCATGTTGGACAATGATGTAACAGAGAGTTGAAAGATCATACCATTAAAATTAAAAGATAGAAAAAAAAAGAAAACAACAGAGAACTTGTGGCGTGTTTCATGACAAGCACAGCATAGATGCTTCCTTTCACTCAAAGACGTGAATTTGGAAGCTTTTCTCATAAAAGCATAAATCTGGAATAACTCGATTGGATTGGGACTCACTCGCCCCTTTTTTACACTCAATTTTTATTTCCTTTCTGCACAAGTCTCCTCCAAAGGATTTTGCAAATCTCTTTGATCCTTTTAATCCTTTTCTCTTTGTTCTTGCCTTCTTGCGTGGTTGCTCAATCCAAGAAGCTCCCCAAGCCGAAGGTATATTTGTTTCCAATTTACATAAATGTACGGACCTATTTTGGGAAGAAATAAATATTTTATTCCAAATAACCATTGCCATAAATGGAAAAAAGCATTCTTTATTTCATCATATTGTTGTATTTTCGCAACTCTTCTTTGAAGTAATACTATAAATGTATAATGTGTTTTAGCTGCATTGCGCTGTCCAGTTAATAGAACTAGCTTCAGTGCAATCTTGGCTTCACAAGTTAAGCATGACATTTCCTCGTGTTTCGGGTTACGAATTGTGGGTTCGGGTTTATGTCAATGATTTCTAATCATTATGGTTACTATGATTGGATTCTTTCATTGGACTGGGCTACTCATTCACTGAAATAATTGATTGAATATTCCATTCTGAATTTCTCTTAGTACATAGCTGAATAATCATGTATTCAGGGATTTGCAGAGCGGAATTATGTATTCTGGAATCTGCAGATTGAGCCACTCGGCTGACTTCTTTGCCAGGCTGAATTGATATAATGGCCGGAGTAACGTTTTCCTGTCTGAAACGTCTCAAGAAATTATCAGCCAAGTGTTCTTTGAACTCAGAGCTAATTCAACCACATCACCGTATGATGAACCTTACTAGACGTGAGGATTGCGTTCATGTAAGCTTTCCGGGTATCTCACTGAGTCAAGCTTATTCCAAAGGAGAGTTACAGTTACATGACATTTTTGCCAAGAACCAGTTTAGAACTATGATTTCTGAAAACAGCAACCTCTTGAGTACCAAACCCAGTGCTTCATTTTCTCCTAAATTTTCCAGCTTTTGGCTCCACCATGCTCTTCCTTTCAGTTCAATGACCCTCTTGTTGAATCATCGGTCATATTCTTCGTCTCTGAGTGGCAAATTAAGTAGAGATGGAACCACAGATTTTGCACCTGATTCTATTGATGCAAGTGACTGGACTGATGAATTGACTCCATTTCTTCAACAGTTGCTCGACTCAAATCCTTACCTCAACGATGTGGTTATTCCGCTTGGTGGTACATTGACTGCCACTCTAATAGCATGGACTGTGATGCCTCTGATCTTGAGGAAATTTCACGAAAATGCATTGCAAAGTTCTGCAGCAACATTTCTGAGAAGCAAATATGGTGAGCAAGTTCCTTATGAGAAAAGCTTGTGGGGTGCTTTGGAGGATCCACTGCGATATTTGGTTACCTTCGTGGCATTCTCACAGATGTTAGTGGCTTATCTTTGCATTATAAGTGTGTTGCTTTGATCATTTCAGTGGTTGTATTTATGTAAGTGACAGAAAACCTTGATTTCCAGTTGTGTAATGGTAGCTCCAACAAGTGAAGCCCCACAGCAACTAGCAGAGGCATGGAGGGAGGCAGTAATGTTGTTATTTACGTGGTTTTTGCATCGATGGAAGACAAATATCTTGGGACACATGTCGTCAAGTCAAAGTTTACTTGGGCATGGTCAACATAAATTGCTTACTCTGGACAAAGTCTCATCTGCTGGTGTATTTGGGATTGGTACAATGGCTCTGGCCGAGGCTTGTGGTGTCTCTGTTCAATCTATTGCAACTGCTGGCTGCATAGGAGGTATCTAAGTATTAACAGTCATTTGAATCTGCTCACTTTCATTTTCCTACGTCTTTTGATTTGTGAAGTTTTTTTAATCAGCATGCAAAACACACAGATAATCTGGTTTTGGGTCACTATGGAGCTCCTTTTTGGTACATGGATGTAATTAAATTTTGGTTATCAATAATGCAGAGTGTGTGTGTGTGTGTGTGTTCTTTTTTTTTTGCACAAACATATGAAGGGGTAATTAATAATAGAATAAGAAGTGCACACCGTGTACTTCTTTAGATAAATGCACCAAATTCAGGTTCATGCACATGAAGTCATTTCAACAATTTAGACGAAAATAATTATATTATTGAAATCTGACACTTTTGACAAATGAAAAATTTTTGACAAATTGAGTGAGGAGTTTTTGGCTTCTTTTTTTTTTTTTTCCAATAGAAGAAAATTTTGTAACTGGGAAGTTTAAATGCTTAGTGTCTCGAGACAGGTGATAGAGAGAACTATAAGAGGCAAAAGCCTCAAACTACTATTATTGGTAGCAGAAAAAGCTTCTGCGTATTTCGTAGGTAGGGTAAAGATAAGTGCTCAAGATGAATTCTAAATACTCAGGACTCCCTCTGTTTAGCTTACTGTTTCATGTTGGATTCATGATGTATCTTTCTGAATATTCACTGAAATCATCATACGTTCCCCTTGTTCTTGATAACCTACTATTATTGGAGGATTAAAGTTTTCAATATGCTTGCTTTACTAGGCAAAGTTTTGGTGAATGCTAGGTAGAATTTCCTAAACTATTAAGAAATGGATGGCTTGACCTTCTCTTTTATTGTTTATGCAGGACTTGCCACAGCCATTGCCGCCAGAGACGTCCTTGGCAATGCGTTCAGTGGATTGTGTATGCAGTTCACGGAGCCCTTTACAATTGGAGATACAATCAAAGTATGTCAGAAATCTTACCTGGTGCAACTTGCTGTTTTTTTCTTTTTTCTTTTTTTTTTTTTGCATTTTAATGGGCACAAGTTATTTGCTTAAACATGACACTGTATGAAGCGAGTTGTGATATTTCTGTAATTAACTGTAGGCTGGGTCAGTGGAAGGAGAAGTTATTGAAATGGGAGTGACAAGCACATCATTGGTGAATGCCGAGAAGTTGACAGTGGTAGTGCCCAACTCATTTTTTTGCAGCGAGGTGAGCATCCATTCCGCCTCTTTTCTTGCCAATTAATCTCATTCAAAACGTGATTTTGACTAACTAAACTTCAAGTAGAGTGGAACAGGTAGCTTTTTGCCCGGTAAAGAGGAATAGGAGAAGATCAAAGAAAATATTTATGAAAATTGTTAAACAAGTTGATAATAAAATACAATGACATAATGTAATCCATATAACCAATCCCATCTAGCAGAATAAAGCTTGTTATTGTTGCTGCTTCTACTTGCACCAACCCAATTTATCATGGTCACTTTTGCAGTCCCTAACTGATCTTTTAGCATTTTAAAATTATATATTAATTGTAAAATATATTGATTTAAAGCTTTTTAAGATTAAGAGTGATTCATCATATACAATTATGAATGATTTTTGGTGCGATAAGAGTTTTTGCATGTGTAAAATTTGATAGGTAGTGGTGATAAAGAGTCGAGTTGAATGGCACAGTATGATATCGAAGATTCCGGTGAGGGTTGAAGCGATAAATAGGATTTCCAGAATAAAAGATGATATAAAAAGTATGCTAGCAACAAACCCCAAGGTTTTGTCGGGGAAAGGGAGCCCTTACTGTTACTTGTCCCGCATTGAAACTTCATACGCAGAGTTGACACTTGGATACAACCTCAAACACATGGTACGTGACACATTAATTTGCAGAATGAATGTATGATTAAAGTGTTGTCGTCATGTTAGACATCGTGATTCCAAGTGTGGTGCAGGGCAAAGATGAGATGCGTGGGGCAGAACAAGACATCGTGGGGTTGGCTGTTGAGATTACCAAGAGGCACGCTGCTGAACTTGGCCTTCTCACCTCTTCTTCATCGGATTCTGACTGATGCACAAAGCTTCTCTCTGCTTCCTTTGCTGAAGCCTCGGTCACAACTTGAATGAGCTTCATCAGATCATCTTGGTACTATCGTCCGCAGCATCTGGACATGTTGAGTCACCGAGTCGCCACATCCCAGAGCAAGTGTAGCCTCGATTCGATCTAGGCCAGAAGATCACCATCCATTATAGCTTCATACAATTCTTGTCTTTTAATCACTCCTATCCAGATATCTCAGCGCCATGAGAGATAAATTAAAAACAAAACAGCTTCTGAAAATTAGGACTCTACTTTAAAAATCCAAAGATCAGTCGAAACCTGAAACCACATTTTTTAAATTCATGTATCACAGAATTTGTTGCGTTCTTAAATTCAAAAGTTTTACTGACAATGCATGGTGCACTAATAAATCATAAAAAATTAGATATTTGTAATTGTAACTCAATTTTCAATATTTATATTTTTTTTTTACTAGCAATATTTATAATTAATTTTCTTTTTTAACTTTTTAGAACTTGTCAACTTTGCTTTCAATTTTTTTGAATGTCGCCATGTCTCTGATTAACTAAGCATATTTTGGTATGATTTATTTTTATTCAAAGATCAGCTAACAACACGATTTTTAATTATATTTTCCTGAATTAGGGTTTTTTGACCCTTTGAGAGGGGAAATATGGGCTCTTGAAAACATTACTCTTTTTGCCTCTTTTTATAAAATTCGGAAGCCTTCCATGTTTTTGAACGTAAAACTACTTACAAAAGCGAGCGAGCGAGCGAGAGAGAGAGAGAGAGAGAGAGAGAGAGAGAGAGAGAGAGATTTATAACATTTTTATAAGTGCCTTTCATAAGTTTATTTTGCAAATATTCATATTGTTTTTTCAATGCTGTGATTTATTAAGTTTGGAATAAAGATTAAATTAAAATGATACTTTGTGGTAGGAGAGAAAAGTGAGGGAAAATATTATTTTCTTATACTTGGTTATGGAGAAAAAAGTGAAGGAGAGAGAAAAAAACATGTAAGATCTGCATATTTTTATTTACAACTTTTTTTATTTAAATATGAAGAGATTTTGGAGAGAAAATTTTAGTTTTAAATTTACTCACTAATTTTCAAATTTTATATTTATAATGTAGTTACATGTTGGTATTGAATTTTTGTTAATCAAATAGTATATTTAATTTTTTGATAAAAGTAGTGTATTTAATTTTTAAATTAATTAGACAAATGTTAATTCTAAATTTTCAATTAAGTTGCTTATATTTAGTTGTAGTTTCAAAATTTTAAAATTATTATAATGTAATAATTAAATAAATAAGATTATAAATCAGATAAAATAATTTTTGGTTGGATAAAATAATTTGTTATTATATTTTTATTCAATTAATAGTATATTTTAGAAATTATTAATATATATACATAATATGTTAAAATTTTAAATTTTATTATATATAAATATTTTCTAAAACAAAAAGGATAGTATTGGCCACATAAAATTAACAAATTTTTTCCGTTATTTTTTTCCTTTTGCTCAGTCAAGCATGATGGAAAAAAATTGTAATCATCTCATTTTCTCTCCTTATTATTTTCTATACTAGCAAAGCACAGCATAGAGGTAGTTTTAAAATGTTTTAATATTTTTTGGAAAGTTAGAGATGACCTTGGAATAAGTTCTCGCCTCCACTGGTTTTTCTCTCTTGGACTGTGCCAAGAATTGTTTTCATGAGTTTTGACGTGAAGGGCCTTCGCAAACAACCACCAAACCGGCCGACGAACATGCTACAGCCTGAAAATGGCAAGAAAAAGAAGCAGAATCCTTCTCAAACTCTTTAGAGGACTCCACCATAAACAATCATATGGGAAGTGAAGAAGAGGACAATCTCGAATATAATCAAACAATGAAAGAAATGTCCTCGAGAAGCTCTAAACAAGAACAATCCAAACCCAAAGTCTCTTATCAAGACTCGTTACTGGGCTTCAATGGAATTGCAAATGGTGCATCTGTAATGGAGGAAGATGACTTGTTCGAGGATTTAGATTACATACCATGGAATATGCCAGAGCCCATAGAACAGATACAAGAGATGATGAAGATATATCCCACGATACCTGTAACTAATGATGAGTTCCAGGAATGGTGCCGACCATGAAAATATGCCTTAGTTGTCACTGTCTTGGGGAAAAAGATGAACGTTGCGATGATGAAGAGATGGCTGTCTAAAATATGGGTAATACCAGAATTTGAGATTATTGATCTCCCTAATAATTATTTTACCATTCGATTTACTAATTAGTGAAAACTGGAAGACACAATACCAAAAGGTTCTTTTTCAAGGACCCTGGATGATTCAACAGCACTGTGTTATTATTTAGCGTTGGGATCCATTTTTCGATGCCCATCATAATGCACTTGGTCGAACTGCCATTTGGATCAAGATACCAAATATGAATATGCATTGTTATAACAAGAACTTTGTTTGGAGGTTAAGAGATTGTGTTGGTAGAACTCTTAAAGTGGATCTAAATACCTTGTAGGAGATGGAACTGGGGGAGAGTAAAAGAGATAAAATTGAAAGAGGAAAATATGCCTGTGTTTGCGTCGAAATTGACCTACAAAAATTTTTTTTCCTAAAGTTATTTTTAGAAATACAGTATTTAAAATCCAATATGAAGGGATAGGAATTATCTGCTTTAGTTGTGGAAGATATGGGCATCGACGTGAGGATTGTCCATGGAGACATGAACATGAAAACTCATGTATGCAAAACTCCAGGGAAGGACAACCAGCCCAGTTTCCGACGCCGGAGACGATGAAGAAAAATCAAGAAAAGGAGGAAATTTTTGGCTCCTAGATGTTGACACCTGCGTCGTACAAACTTAACCCTTAGAGGTTGAAAGAGACCAGGAAAACCAAGCAGTTCCAATACAAAAAAAGAGACAGGGATGTCAGAAAGCAAGGTGGGGAGATCACTCAATCTTGATTTTCTGCACTTGTAAAGTTGGAGGAAGAAGGTCAAAATGAGGAAAATGTCAATCTAGACATGAAAATGGAAACTGAGCATTAGTATGATAATGACAAAGGGATACCTCGAGACATGAATCAAAAACTAGAGGGAAATAGGCAAAAGGTGCCTACTATAAGTAGTTACATCACCAAGCCAAGAAAGGCTTTAATGTCTTCAAATTTCAAAAGTCAAAGAGGTAAAGGTAAGGAAAAATTTTGGTCAAACACTCAGGAGAAAAAAGATAATGAAGTCAAACACAATGGGCTAAATACTCCTATTAAAAGTGGGCCTGGACTTAATTCACTATCCAAGACGCCAAAACTTGCATAAAGGGGCCATTCAATAGTTATTGGCAGTAATTTCAATATAGGTTGACATGCAAAAAAACCCAAGAGTAAAGCAGAGGGATGAGTAGTAAATAATTTGAAGGGGGCTGGAAGTGGCAATTTAATTAATTTTAAAAATATCCCAATTCTAAAGAAACCACTTTCGGCTCTGAAAAAATGTGAGCCCCCAAAACCCCCTGATTCTTTACGGATAATGGGTGACCAAAATGTAAAGACCAAAAGCCAAACATCTAGGGAAAGTTGTGAGATGTAACGAGTTAATTCAGGAGCTACTTTTAGAAAGGGCGCTCATATGCAGTAAGCGTATTTTCTCCAGTCTTCTATTTAGTTGTTTTTTAGCATTGTTTCTTCTTGGAATTGTTGAGGTCCTGGGGGGAAGGTGTAACACACCAATTTTTTTAAAAAAAAATAATTTAACTCAACCATAGTTGGGTTACAGTCATCCAACACATTTTTTTATATCAATAATTTCAATATAAAATATTTTATAATTAGCTTCAACTCGCACAATACAACATTTCATATAAATTTTTACCTCCCACATGCCACTAAGCTAAATCACATTTGTCCATCCTTATACTCCCAACAAGTAAATTAAATTACATTTGTCCATCCTTATACTCCCAATAAGTAAAATAAATAATTTAGTCAATTTTCAACACAAGCCAGTTATTTGGCCTTATAATCATGTCATTTTAACCAATCCAAAGTAAACCAAATATTAAAATTACAGTCATCCAAATTGTACCAAAAATAGAAATAGTTTGAAAGGCATGATTACATTTATATATTCATATAATTGACAATAAACAAAAAAAGTCCTAATATTGACAATATAACACATTATAAATCATAAATTAAATATCCAAAAGAGACAGTGGATTTATACCACTAAGCCTCTGGGACTCCTCCACGTGTCACTCGTGGCTCTTCTCCTGAAAATTGTTAACCACATAATGAGACTCAAAAGTCCCAGTAACCAAAGCCAATTTATGATAGTGTATACAAACAGTTAAGTGTGTGCTTACTAAGTGAGAATTAAAAATAATATAATTCCAACAAATATAAGAAATATTACAATACACACAAACAACCATCCTTATATCCCTCCATTAACCTCGAGCCGTAGCCCTCACTCGGTGCTAAATTACCCGGCCAAAGGTAGATTAGCCCGAGCCCTTACAAGCCACCTATTGAGCTCCAATAGGGGCGTACCACGTGGCACATAAATACAACAACAATAGCAAGTCTCCCAACACCTCCCATAATAATCAAATAAATTCATAATAATATTGCAAAATTATATAATATTACAAAATTTATAAAATTCTCACTAATCACCCAATTAACATGAAGTAACACTAATCACAAATTAAAAGCATGGTTACCTTGTGGCTTTTTCAATAAATTATTCCTTAAAATTTCTCTCTCGCCACAATCTTCACCAGTAATACAATCTACAAATAACATATTATTTATAAATATTAGTTTCAATTTTTGAAACTAATAAAATAATTCTAATAATAGAATTAAAAATATAACATAATTTCTAATCTCAATCTTAATACAAATTTAGAGTTAATACTATTAAGTAAAATTTTTAACTCCTCTTTTAATTATCAATAAACATTAATAATCTAAAAAAATTAACTTCTAAACTAATTTCTATTATCAAAATTTTCTTTTTATTTCATAAATTCGTACCTAAAATGCCCAAAAATTAAAAATTGAGTCTCTAGCTTAGAATCATAATCCTATAATCATAATAATTCATTTCTCATCCCAAATAATCATCTAAACCTCAATAAATCAACATATATTTTCAGATTTAGTTTAGAATTTGATCCATAAGCCACAAATTCAAAGATCATCAACAAATTTACACTCTAGAACATTTATTATACTACTGACAACCTCAAAGATCATATTTATTCAACATAAATTCATCCCTCTTCCAGATCTTAAATTTTCTACCACTACAAACTCAGAAACTGAAGAAGAAGGATGACTAAGAAAAATTTTTAGAATACTTACTTAGTCTTGAAAAGCTTAAAATCACACCCTAAATATCCTATTAAAAACTCTTACCTTAAAAATTTAGATATTTCGCACCGGCGACTCGCTTCTCTCCGCCTCAGCTCGCGCGCAGGAAAAGAATTGAAGAAATGAAAGGAAACGGGTGAGTTTTATAAAAATTCAGTGGGTCCCACATTTTTTTTAAATTATTTCCTCTCTCTTCTTCTTTTTTTTATTATTATTTTATTTTACTATTGATGCGGCAGCCGAAAGCAAACTTCTCGTTTTCTTCTTCTCTTCTTTTTTTTTGCATACCTTTTTTTTAATAATAATAATTTAATAATATTTTTTTTAATTAATTAATTAATAATAATTTTTTTTAAAATTTTTTTTAATTTAGAATTATATCCTAAGTTAGATTTAATGATCATTTTCTACTAATTTATTTACCTCTAAATATTTTTAAAAATTTCTATTAACCCAAATTAACTATTAAAATTTAAATTGGGATGTTACAGAAGGAATTCCCTATTCTGACCAAAGATATTGTGAAAAAATATAAGATTGATATTCTTTTCTTGCTGGAAACTAGAATCAGTAGAAAAAAGGCTAATTATGTTGTTAGAAAATTGGGTTTTACAAATTAGATCAAAGTGGAAGCTACTAGTTTTGCTGGGAAAATTTAGGTTCTTTGGAAGGAGTCTAATTTCTCCATTGAATACATCAACTCTAGTCCTCAACTTCTCCATTGTAAAATTATAGATTTAGTTTCTAAGGATGTTGTGATGGCCTCTTTTGTCTATGGTGAGACTCAAGAACTCCGTAGGATCTCTCTCTAGGAACATCTTGAAAGTTTGGCAACTAACATAACTGAACCTTGGATTGTTTTAGGTGACTAATGCTTTTAAGTCACCAAGTGATAAACTGTGTGGTGCCTCTCCAAGTGACTCAAGCATGCTTAGCTTTAATCACTGTCTTTCTGCTTATAGACTTGTTGATTTTCTTGTTATTGGAAATAAATTTACTTGGGAAAGAACTGGTATTCAAGAAAAATTGGATTGGGCTTTTTGTAATATTTCTTGGGCCCTCAAGTTTCAACATCATCAAGCTTTTAATCTCCTTAAGTATAAGTCTGACCAATGAATTCTTCTTATAGCAAAATTTTTAGGTAGTAATAATAGTTCCCATAAATCTGCTTTCATTTATAATGCTGAATGGTCAGTGGAGAGAAATTTTGAGCAAGTTGTTAGGAACTCTTGGAAGGATAGATTATGGGTGGAAGGCACTAAATGTTTTGCAAATGAGGCTATTAAATGAAACAATGATAACCTTGGGAGTATACCAAGAAGGAAAAAAGAAATCATTAAGCGACTTGAAGGCATTGATAAGGCCAAAGGGAGAAATGATAAAAATGGGCTTAGAAAGCTTGAAGCTAAATTGTGGAAGGAGTATTGTAAGCTTTTGGCCCAAGAAGAACTCATTTGGTATCAAAAGTCTAGGTGTAAATGGCTAAAATGGGGGGAAAAAAATACTAAGTTTTTTCATATTGCTACTGTCATCCAGAAGAGGAAAAAAAAGAATAAAAGCTCTAAAATCTGAACAAGGTGACAGGATTTTTGATCAAACAAATTTGAAAACCATGGCTGCAGACTTCTTTCAAAGGTTATATATTAAAGATGAACACTCTACTGATCCAACAACCATCCCTACCTCATTCCCTTGCCCATCTATTCCGAATTTACAAGACATCCATAAAGAAATCACTGATGCTAAGATCAAGGAAGCTGTCTTTTTAATAAGGGCCTTTAAAGCTCCGGGACCAAACAGTCTAACTGCCTTGTTTTATCAGACTCACTACGAAGCCATTAAAGAAAAAATTTGCAGTTTTGTGAAAGAAATTTTTTCTAATCCTTGCAGAATTGAAGAGATCAATCAAACCAACATCTGTTTAATTCCAAAGGTTGATCAACCTTCATGCTTTAAAGAATTCAGACCCATTTCCCTCCGTAATGTGAGCTTGAAGATTGTGACTAAAATTCTTGCTAACAGACTTAAAGGGCATATGGATTTCTTGATCAAGCCAAATCAATGCAGCTTTATTGCGGGTCGTCAAAGTAGTGATAACATCATCATTGCCCAAGAAGCTATTCATGTGATGAGGAAAAAGAACAAACGCAAGAGCTACATGGCGATAAAGGTAGACCTCAAAAAAGCTTATGATTGCCTGGATTGGAATTTCATTACTCATACTCTTAAATGTGTTGGTCTAGGAGAACACCTCACAAATATCATAATGGCTTGCATTAGTACAGCCTCAATAAAGGTGAATTGGAATGGTGAGCAATCCCCTAAATTTAAAGCTTCAAGAGGGATTAGGCAAGGTAACCCACTTAGCCCTTATATTTTTGTGCTGTGTATAGAGCATCTGGGTATAATGATTCATCATTTGTGTGAGACTAAAAGGTGAAAACCTTTAAAGTTGTCCTTAAAAAGGCCATAAATCTCCTATCTTTTCTTTGCTGATGATCTCATTTTATTTGCTGAAGCATTATTAGATCAAGCATCCCTGATTAAATAGATCATGGAAATTTTTTTGCAAAGCTTTAGGGCACCGTATGAATTTGAATAAAACTAAACTATTTTGTTTTGGGAATGTTTGCTACCAACATAACTCAAAGCTAAGTCAAAATCTAGGAGTTGGACTAACTTCAAACCTTGGTAAATATTTAGGTGTCCCTCTTCTTCATAAGAAAGTCAGTAAAGGTATGTTCCTTCCTATTCTTCAGAAGGTTCACCAAAGATTATCTTCTTGGAAAAGTACCTATCTTATTATGGCTGGGAGAACAATTTTAATCAAATCTATCATTTTTTCCCTTCCATCTTACCTTATGCAAACCATATTGATTCCCAAAGGTATTTTGATAGAGATTGAGAAATATTGTAGGAAGTTTCTTTAGACTAACTGAGAAGATCAAAGAAAACTTCATCTAATCTCATGGAGCAAAGCAAAAGAACACAAGCACATGGGAGGGCTTGGCATAAAAGATCTTCACATCTAGAACAGAGCCTTCATTATGAAACTCTGTTGGGCTCTACTCACTAAGCCTGAGTGTTTGTGGGTGCAATGCTTAAAGGCAAAGTATAAATGTGGAATAGGTAAATACCCAACGGTGATGAAAAAATGATCAGCTTCTCATACCTGGAATAGTGTCTGTAAAGTCTAGGAAACCTTCATGCAGGGGGTCAGAAGAAAAGTTAAGAATCATACTACAATAAGCTTTTAGTGGGATCATTGGGCTCTGTAATAGCAACCGTTGATTACCTATGTTTCCAAAAGGGATCATCATCTCAACCCAAATGCTAAGGTGTGTGACTTTGTTCTTCCTTCAGGTTCCTGGAACAGAGAGTTTGTACTCAGATTCTTCTCTATGGATATAGTTAACCATATATCCAATGTCCAACCTTGTCTTAGCATACTTGAGGATGTGTTCTAGTGTAGAGCTAGTGGTAATGGTAACTTTACAGTCAAATCTGCTTATAATTTCCTGGTTGGAAATGTGGCTACTAGTCGAAGTTTGGTTTGGAGATATCTGTGGAAATGGGCTTTACCTGAAAAAGTAAAATTCTTCTTTTGGCAAGTCCTACATGAGAGAATTCCTAATAACCTTATGAGAGTAAAGAGAGGGCTTACTTCTGATCCAAATTGTCCTTTCTAATGCGACAGTAAGGAGAGCACTATACATGTTTTGAGAGATTGCATGAGAGCAAAAAACACATGGAAGGAAATTATAAATCCTGTTTTTCATGACCACTTTTTCTTGTGCAACTTGCAGGAATGGATAGACTGGAATACAAAGCATCATATTAGTAGTAGACAAGTCCAAAAGTGGCCATGGGTGAAAGTCTTTGGTCAAGTTTGTTGGTCACTGTGGACGTATAGATGCAAGGTAGTTTTTAAAGGAACACAATACAACATAGGAAATGTCTTACATGCTTGCAGAAGGAAATTGATGGAGGAGAGAGATTTACAGATCCTCAATTTGCTACATGGTACTACCAATGAATTGCATGGATACAAATAGACTCCACCACCGCATGGGACACTTAGAATAGATGTTGATGCTTCTATGCTTCAGTCCCAACTTTGTTCAGCATGTGGTGGACTAGTTTGAAACTCTGAAAGAAAGTGGGTAAATGGCTTTCTCTGTAATCTGGGCCATCTACCAATTACCATTGCAGAAATCATAGCTATAAAGCATGGTGCACAATTGAGTTTGAGCCTAAACCCCAAACAAGTGATTATATATTCTGATTCACTTAAAGCCATCTCCTATGTTTATCGAGGAGTCCATACTACTCATCTATATTATGAGGAAATATCTGAGGTGCAAAATTTGATGTCTAATCATAAAGATCTTAAGCTTCTTTATGCCCCACGTGAGGCTCTATCTTATGCAAATTTTTTGGCTCATATGGCTTATGGGTACTCAAATAAGTTGATGCTACTTCCTAGCCCTCCTATGGAATGTGATCATTTGTTGATATTTAACTATAGTGGGAGTTTGTCCCACTAATTTTTAGGTTACTTCCTGTGTAACTTACAACCATCTCTAGCCTCAGCTAGCCTTTGGAACTGAAAAAAAAAATAGTTTTTTGGAGAAAAATTAAAATCCTTAAGTAATTTTACCCGCTAATTGTTATTTGGATCAAAGCATGCTAGTAAGGGAATATTTTCCAGGTCTTTCCTTTTATTTTCCGAACACGCCCTTTTCTTTCTATAGTGGAATGGAATTTTTATTGACTCTGCACAAGGCAACTCCAACCGATTTGGCAGGCCACTGTGTTCTTTCGATCAGTGTTCTTTCATGGTCGTTGTGTGTCTGCCCAGTCAAAGAAGCCCCCAAGTCCATGGTATAGTTGTTTCGGATTTTTTTTTTTTCCTTCCGTAGAAAATGCAGGAAATGTGATTCGTGAGCTCGCGGAGAGGTTATCCGATTTTTTTTTAAAAAAAAAATTCTTTGTTTCATCATATTGTTATGTTTTCGCTACACTGTTTCCTACAAGTAACAGTGTAATTTATTTTAGCTGCATACTGCTATCCGATTACTGGAACTAGCTTCGATGGAACGATGGCTTTTCACGGATTATGTATGACATTTCTTCATTTTTCAGTTTATAAAATGAGGTTTCGGTTTTATTCCTGAATGATTTCTAATCATCATGGTTGCTCTTATCGGATTCTTTTATTGGACCGGACAACTCATTCAGGGGAAATAATTGATTGGCTGATTCGGAATTTCTCTTCGTACTTGCCTTGTTGGATCGCAGAAAACTGAGTACTTTGCTGAATTCGATATTCTGAAATTTGCAGATTGAGTCACTTTAGAATCTTGATAGCTTCTTGGTGTTGGTGGTGATTATTTCAGCAATGTCTCTGTTGACTTCTTTAGTATGCTAAATTGATATAATGGCTGGAACAAGGTTTTCCTATCTGAAACGTCTCCAGAAATATTCAGTTAAGGGTTCTTTTAACGTGGAATTAGTTCAACCAAATAAACATATTATGAACCTTACAAGGTGCATGGATTGCGTTCATTCAAGATTTCTGAGCAATTCATTCAGTCAAGCTTATTCCAAAAGAGAGTCACAGTTACCTGAGCATATAGCCAAGAACCAGTTCAGAACTATGACGTATGGAAGCAGCAACCCCTTCAATACCAAACCCGGGGATTCTTTTTCTCCTAAATTTTCTAGTTTTTCTCTCCACAAGGCTCTCCCTTTTGCTTCAATGACCCTCTTGTTGAATCATCGACCGTATTCATCATCTCTGAGCGGCAAGGGAAGTAGAGATGGGAGCACTGATTTTCCATCTGATTCTGGGGCAAGTGACATGAATGCCAGCAGTGACTCTATTGGTACAAGTGATTGGGCTGATAAAATCAAAGATACTTGGCAGAGTGTGGTGGAGACAGTAACATATTCTGCACAAAAGGTTAAAGACGCCTCTGATGAGCTGACTCCATATGCTCAACAGTTGCTCAATTCACATCCATACCTTAATGATGTGGTTATTCCAGTTGGTGGTACATTGACTGCTACACTCATAGCGTGGATTGTGATGCCTCGGATTTTAAGGAAATTTCACAAGTATGCAATGCAAGGCCCTGCTGCAATATTTCCAGGAAGCACAGCTGAGGAGCAAGTTCCTTATGGGAAAAGCTTTTGGGGTGCTATGGAGGATCCAGTACGATATTTGGTTACCTTCATGGCATTCGCACACATGTTAGTGGTGTATTTCCATTTAAGGGTGTTTTTGTCATGGTTGTATATCTATGGTTGCATTATATGTCCTACTTTGTGACAGATAACTTTGGTTTTTCAGTGGTGTTGTGGTAGCTCCAACATCTGTAGCCTCGCAATACCTGACACAGGCTTGGAGGGGTGCAGTGATCCTTTCATTTGTGTGGTTTTTGTATCGATGGAAAACAAATGTCTTGACACGTATTTTGTCTAGTCAAAAGTTGCTCAGGCTTGATCGGGATAAATTGCTCACTCTAGACAAAATATCATCTGTTGGTCTATTTGTGATTGGTATAATGGCTTTAGCCGAGGCTTGTGGTGTGGCTGTGCAATCTATTATAACTGTTGGTGGTATAGGAGGTAAGTATTTGCAGCTAGTTGAGTGTGCTCGGTTTCATTTCTATGCCTTTTCAGTCTACCTAGTTTTGTGCATCTTTTGATTTTTTTCTGTGTGGATACTACTAGTATGAAAAACTTGTAAAATATGGTAGGTTTAGGACGTTAAAAATCCTTAGAAGTACGTTTATCTGGTTAAGCATTAAAGGATAAGGATCGTATTGAAAGTTGAAACTGATAAGGAACATGGAATGTCAATTTAAAATCACAAACATGCTTACACAGGATTACACTTGACAGCCAGTGAATCAAATTGAGTGGCAAGGTGTTGGCTGATTTTTTGTAATTGCAGCTTTGAAGTTATACAACAGAAAACTTTATAACTTAGAAGTTCAAATACTTGGTATCTGAAGATACAGATGATGCTGAGAGCTGTAAATGCCTCATAAATTATTAGTAGCTGTAAATACATACGTATATGAGGTTTTATATCACGAAGAAAGGTAAATAACACAAAAATTTTGCGACATTTCTTTTAAAAAAAAAAATTTGACTCTATTCTCATTCAGATGGTTATTTTGTTGTTGACTATGATATTTCACGCTGTCTGATTGCTTTTATTCATGTATTCCTTAGTTTTGGATTTTTTGTTTCCTTTTGAATAATTTTGTTGTTGACATTATGATATTTCCCCTGTCCAAATCAATAAGCTACAGGACTCTCAACCTTCCATTACACGGCCACCAAGCTAAATAAGAGCACTGACAATGCCAAATTGATCACCCCCCTCTCACTGCTTGGTTCTTCATAACCTTGTGGCCAGCACTCCCTCACTTCTCTATCTTGATTTCCACTAGTGCTAGAGTTAGCTTCTCTCAGAATAAGTCTTCTGGGCTGAATTAACAGTTAGGCCAGCTAGCCCATCAGTTCTATTTTGTGCTTTCTAAAAGAGAGAAAAATCTTTGAGATATGATATGAGCCTAATGTCTGATGTGTATATTTTCTTTCTTTAATTAATCACTAAAACCTTCTGTATTTCGCTCTTTACTCTTCATGCACTACTATTATGGTGGGAAAAGTTTATCAATATGCTTGTTTCTCTGCTATTTTCTGCTGAACACAGTTCTAATATGATTTGACCTCTTCTATCTTTATGCAGGAGTTGCCACTGCTTTTGCTGCCAGAGACATACTTGGCAATGTATTCAGTGGGTTGTCTATGCAATTTTCAAAGCCCTTTACAGTTGGAGATACAATAAAAGTATGTCGCTAATTGACTTGGTGCAGGTTGATGCTTTTCTTTTCCCCTTTTAATGGCAGAAGTTTTTCCTGAGGCATGGTATTGCTGGGTGTTCCGTACTGAAACACTCTTGCTATTATCAATGGCAAATTGCAAATTTTACAAATTTGAGTGCTTAACTGTTTTTCTCCAATAATCCAATATGTCCACCGTGTATCATGCACTATATGGTTACAGGTATAAATTTGTTGTTTGTACATATAGGGGGAGAAAAAAAGGTTGGAACATTTAAGTGGCCAACATGATATAAGTTGATTATTTTGAGGGAAAAAATAAAACAAATTGAGCTGTCCAAATATATATTTTGTGAGTATTCAAGTGAGAAGAGGATCTTCTGAATTTTTTTAAATCAGGAGGAAGACATCCCTCACTGTTGGTGTTGTCCACTGTATAATTTGCTTTTCTGATCCTTATTTGTGAAATTGTACTAATTCTAGGCTGGCTCGGTAGAGGGTCAGGTGGTGGAAATGGGACTTACTACTACATCATTACTAAATGCTGAGAAGTTCCCAGTTGTAGTACCAAACTCACTTTTTTCTAGCGAGGTGGGCTTCCCTTTGCCCTTGGTCTGTTGTTTCTGCGACTATTCAACACTTGGACTTAGCCAATTTATCATGTTGATTTTTGCCACTGATCAATCATAGAATATTTTGCCACATGTTGGAAAATGTGCACCACTTTTTTTATCTGCAATTCATGGTCAAATCAACAGTTTGAACCTTGTGCTTTCCACTGTTCACCCATTACCCATCAAATTATAATTCTGCTGCCTTCTTAGAAATAAATAATTAGAGGAAAGTAAAAAAGAAATAAATAATTAATTAATCAAGTCATAACTTGTCTTTCTATGATTATCCTAGCAATAATTTGAGCAGGTTTCTCATTACTTGAATTGTTTTTTAGGTAGAATGCCTGTGCAAGACTTCCTTTTTAGAAAGTAGTATAGCATTAAAGACTGGTGATTGCTAGAGTTGAAAGAACACAAATAATTGTAATGGTTATATAAGTGAAAATGATAATATAGACATAGTAGAAAAGAAATAAATATAGTGATGTGCAAGTGTAACTTGTTTCAAATGATGAAATGTCTGTTGCTTTTGAAAGAAATGAAGGGGGAGTTACGGGAAGAAAACTTTGTGGTTAGTTTTTTTCCTTGTTAAGATCACTTAGTGTTTAGAGTTACTATACTTTGGCCCTTGGTCAAATTCTGTTGGATTTCATCATTTGACAAACTTAAATTAAGATGTCTAGTGTTCAATTTATTTGATCGAATACATATAGTTATTACCCATAGTTCTTTTCGTTTTTCTAACTTAAAGATATTAGAAGGTTCTGCTCTTGTAGAGACAGAAATTTAAAAGTTACCTTGTGTATAAAACTATATATGCAAGTTTTCTTTCTCTAATAGTTGCATCCTCAAGCTAGATAACACACACCAATAGCACAATTAATGTTTTGTTCTCTATAAAACATTTTCTTTTTAAGCTTTGATTTTGAGATTATTGTCTACTTTTTTTTTTTGGGCCAAAAGAGATTATTGTCTACTTTATTCATCATAATTATTAAGCATTTTCTTGTGATAAAAGTTTTTCCATGCAAAATTTGTAGGTAATCGTGAATAAGTCCCGTGCTGAATGTCGAGCCATCATATCTAAAATTCCTTTGCGAATTGAGGATATAAATAGAATTCCCAAGATATCAAATGACATAAAGAGTATGCTAGGAACAAATACCAAGGTTTTCTTGGAGAAAGAGGTCCCTTACTGTTACTTGTCTCGCATTGAAAGCTCATATGCAGAATTGACTCTTGGATACAACCTCAAGCACATGGTATCTTCCGCATTCCTATCCCTAGAACAAATCCATGTTATGCTTATTAGTTGCTCTATAAATCCTTTTGTTGTTTAATTAAATGCTTTTCGATAGCCATTCTTATTCAACATTATTTATGAGAAATTGGTTACTCAGCACGCTGAAATGTTAGCTCAATACTTGGTGTGCTACTATGAACAGTATGGAAGATGCTATAGTTATCAATTTTAGCCTTTTATTCCACATTTCTGTTTAATCCAAGACTAAGAGCATGTAAATTGTATCTGGCTGTCCCGATGTTGCAATAACCTAATGCATATTTAGTTTTTTTCTAATAGACCAGAAGCAAATGCTTTTGTTTGGTTAGAGTTGCTTGACATGATTAATACTGATGATTTGCTTTAGACTCGTAGGCCACCGAAGAAAAAGACTAGCTGGCCAATTAAAGCTATTCAACCCAATGTTTGTGTGATGTGTTATTGGAATTTCAAGACTAATGATGATGATCAACAGTAGAAGGGGTTATGTTTGGGGTTCAAGTTTGTGTAAATACTAAAGATGCTTTTCAGTATCCAAAAAAAGAGGACAAACAACGATCTTATTCTGCATTGTGAAATATGAAGGGACATTTGGAATAGACTGTCTAGAATCTTCAGTTTGATATTGAATCAAAATATGTATAATTAAATCCATAAGAAGCCAAATTATTTTGCTAATAAATTATAAACAAAGTGACTCATTTCTTATAATTTATATAATGCACAGGTAAATGTGTCTAGTTGGTATTTAATTTAATGTATTTGAGACATTTTCATCACCAATTTCTTCTACTTCTTTGTCATGCTTTTGTTTCTTGCAGCGTAAAGATGAGCTGTACTCTGCAGAACAAGATATTCTCCTGCAGGCAGCCCAGATTATTAAGATGAATGGTGCTGAAGTTGGCAGTACCTGTCAAAACATGCCTTAGGCTATTGTCATGAAGAAGAACGATCCTTTGTCAATTTCTTTATGCTTGACTTCAATGATGGAAGATGTGATTTTTTGAATTTGATTTTTGGTCTGGATTAACACCAGTTTTGGAGTTTAGGTTATTGTCATACTTTGTTATTGACGTTGTTTTGTAATTAATGTCAATTCTCTTTTTCCTCTCTCTATGTATCTCTATTTATGAAATCTTTGTCCATTTTTCTCTTACCTGGGTCTTAAAGTTCTCTCAAATTATATGTTGGCCATGGAAAATTGACTAATTAGTGTCCTTTGGACTTTTTCATGAGGTATGACCCATTGATATTGAGTGTCGTTTGCTACATTGCAAGTTAGCCATGAGTACATTTTCAAAAGGTTTCAGTCGGTGGTCATTTAACTTTATGCTATTAGATTTTTAATTATCAAATGTCAGATAATATTTTATTAAATAACCACTTAATTACTAACATTTTGTTCAATTATTTAAATGATAAGTTTGATTAACCTTTTTCATTTTTTAATTTAACTCTGGAAAGATAAAAAGAACACGCTTGAAAAAAACAACGGAAATAAAAAGAATGAAAAGAGGGTAGGGGTGTACGCAGGGCAAAGCAAAGGGGAAGAAATTGAATTCAAGCCAAGAGGAATAGTATGGAAAAGAGTTGCAGCAGCAGCATAAAGTTAATGATTTATTATTTTTTAAAATTATTGTTTTTCTAAAATAAAAAATGCCCAAATATATTCTACCTTAAAGTATTGATTTATTTGTTGAGCTAACCAAAATAACAAATGCCAAAATATATTCTAGTTTAAATATAAACAAGTGAATAAATATAAAGAGATAGTAAAACTTTTAGTCTCTATTTTTTCCAATTATTGATTTATTTTTTAAATTTTGATTCAATACAATTCAGTTATTGTAGTTTACTAAGTTAAAGAATTATAGGAATTAAGTTGTACCAATTTAAAATATATATATATATATATATATAAAGACTAAATTGTTCCAAATTAAGAAAATATAGGATTGAGGTGTTTCAAATCAAAATTCAGAAATGTAATCAGTAATTGAGAACAAATTGTTCCAAATTAAGAAAATATAGGGATTGAGGCGTTTCAATCAAAATTCAGAAATGTAATCAGTAATTGAGAAAAAATTTGGACCAAAAAATATATTATGCTGAATATAAACAAGTGTGTGTGTGTGTGTGTGTGTGAGAGAGAGAGAGAGAGAGAGAGAGAGAGAGACAAAGATTTCAGTGGCTGGCAGATGAAGAGAAATTTTCTTTTTTAATTTGACTAAAGGAAGATAAATGAAAGATATTATTATAATGTAATTTTTTAACATCAAAATTAAAACTTAAAATGTCAATTTGTTTGTTTCAAATTTTTTTAATATTTCTTTACCTTTTATTTATTCCTGAGTAGTTTTAGGGAGGATGAAACTGCCCTTACTTGGCCATCCTTTCATCTTTTTTAAAAAAAGTATGAGTTATTACTTTAATTTCTTTGTGCAACCAATTTATCTCTATGTTTCAAAAATCTAGGGAAGTATTGGCACACGTTATTGCGGCAATGGTCTAGTTGGGTGTGTTCATGAATTTTAAAATTTTTTCTTCCTGCTTATTTTTTAAACTGGATTTGATTTTTTGCATATCTCATCCTTGAATAACATGAATGCGTTTATCTTCCCAAACTTGCATCTTTCTTGTTTTCCGCAACCTAAGGTTTCACTTTCAGTGTCTTGTCTTAAACTCTCTCACCATGCTTCATCTACTTCTTGCCATCCCATAACTACATCCTCTTCCATTTTTACTTTTATTAATAAAGCGCATTACTTTTAACCATGTGATAATACATTTTAATTTAATTGATTTATCATCATAATTAAATTTCCTCCCACATCTCAAATAAAAATATGATTGTTCATACCGTGGAAGCTTTTACTTTAATAGATAATTTTCACAAAAATAACAAGAATGTTACCGTGCAAATAGCATGAAACAACTTATTTAACAATACAATCAGTATGATATACTTTTTATGTGTAATCGTTATAATATGATTTAAGTGCAATTTTTTAAAAAGGAAAAGATATCTTCGTTTTAAAATGTAACTTCAAAATTAATTAATTTTTTAAATTTAATAATAGTTGGATTGAGTTAAAAAAATGAAGAATCACATCTAAGGACCTCCTAAAAGAATTATTCACAAATAAATATCAATATAGAATTATTTTTGTTAAAATGATAATAGCAACTTGTTTTTTCCCAAATAGTTATTTATTATTGATTCTTATTTATGAATAATTCTTTTGAGAGATTCTTGAATGCAATTATTCCTTTAAAAACACTCAATATATGCCTCTTCTAAGATCAAGGTTTGAATTTTTATGGATAAAAAATTAGGGTAAATGAGCAAATTGTTTCTTACATTATTCTAGAATGTCCAAGACTTCGAACTCATCTTTTGCACAATATTTTTTTTTAACTTTTAAAAATAATATAATTTGACTCCTATCGTTAACAAAAGTTAACTTTGATTATTTGTTAATCAAAAAATGACATTAAAAATTACAGAAAAATCAAAAAAAATTCTTGGTTCCTTTTTGTAATTTGTTGAGTCCTTGTTTATAATTTTTAGGTCTTTACTATAATTTATTGGTCTATTTTTATAATTTTTGAAATTATTTGTTAGTCAATAAATAGTCAAATTTAACTTTTATTAATAACAAGGGTTAGATTATATAATTTTTAAAAGTTAAAAAATATTACACAAAAGATGAGTTTTTAGACCTATAGGTTATAGGCCAATTTGCTCATTTATCCTAAAAAAAATTATATTGAAAAAACTACTTCAATTTAGCTTAATGTTAAAAATATATTTTGCCGCTAATAAAACATGCATATCTTTATACACACGATGATTAATTAATTTATCAATGTGCATTTACTCATTTATAGTCCACAAAAAAGATCTAAAAAATCTAACAAGCCGCACTGTTATCAGCCATAAACAATGAATACGTACATGTTTGGAAAATATGTGAGGATTGGTCAAACATGTAACTGTGACTAAAGCAATGTGAGAGGAACTTTGAGTGGGAAGCTAAAAACTAAAATCACTATCATGAGCGAGCCTCGTGGTCGTGCATGGCTTCACCTTCTTCACTCCCCAGCACCATTCCAAAGCTTTCAGACACTGTATCAGCAATAAATTTCCTCAGCCTTCCCCTCCGTCCTCGTCCTTCTCAATTAGCCATTGTCGGCAACAGGCCGCAAGCAGTTCATCGTCTGCGTCTTCTCTGGTAATGGATCCACCATTAATGAAGCTCATCTGCTTTCAGGCTTCCACAACAGCGTTAACGAATATAGCTAGCATTGTCTATTAAATCGGGTGTGGTGAAGGACATGAGTGATTAAAAGCATGTTATTGTTACTTAGTGATGAATTAATATCCGACATATGGAGATATGATCCTTGTAACAAATGTCTGCGCCGCCACCAGCTTCTTCTGGTCGCCTCTGCTATCATCCTCCACCCTCACCTTCTTACCCAATCCATCGTTCGACGCCACCTCAATCACCATCTTAATAATAATTAATAAATATTTTTAACAATGACTAGTGAAATATAAAATATAAAATATTTTTTTATATGTTAAGATAATAAATCTTAACATAATAAATCTCCATACATAATGGTATATCTTTACACTGTACTCCTCATCAAATTCAATTACATTTTGTAACAACTTGTATGGTTTAATTTGAAGAATTAATAAATCTCAAAAGATAATGTATCTTAACATTTCCCCTCAAATTTAATAAATCTATGAATTTATATAACAATTGCATTGCTTAGTCTAAACAATAAATCTCATATAGGTAATTGTTGGAAGTAAAAGAAATATGAGATTTTTATATATATAACCTATATTATAAGATCAAATCAAATAAATAACCCAACATTCATTGTATTTTACATTATGGCCAGTTTATTATATGTCATTGATATATAATCAATGATAGACTCTTTGTATATCAATGATAAATCCTTATATATTAATGTAAATCGGTTATATATACTCTCAAAATTTAAAGAAAAAAATTAGACAAAAGATTTTTTTTTTTTTAGCTAATGGGCCAATTTATCCTAGAAATAAACAAACAATTCAACTTCAAATCAAAAACATACCAGATCCAGAACCTCATAAGAGAGAAATAGAGAGAGAAAATAAAATGAATATGAATGAATGCTCAAATCCGATGTCTCTACACTTCACCTGACTAGCTTTATTTATAGAGTGGGTGGCTGAGTTATATTGGAGAATCTATATATTGTGATAAATCTAATTGCTTAATGAGAGATAATATCTTAGTCTATAAGTATATAAATGATTTATTCAAGAATTAATATTTTGTTTAATTCTTAATATGATTAATTAAAACTAATTTAATCATTTATTAAGTTAAATACTTGTTTAATTTAATACAATATCTAGATTCCAATTAAGGGCGGATATTATAATAATTAAACAATAATATATCCTAGCAATATTTTTGTTTTTCTAACTTTATCTTAAAATTAGATAATTTTAATGTATCATAAAGAATCTAAAAATAAATCATAATATATTTATAGATAATGAGTTGGCATAACTTATTATAAATTTCATATTTTATTAGGTGAGTTTTTATATCGCGTGGTGAAACTTTTATTTTTAAATATTGATTATTTTTGTTTTGGGCAGATTCAATGATTGATCCTGTGGATCCCACAAATATAAAGCCCCCTGTCTCCCTTATTTTATTTCAGATTTTCTCCCTTGACTTCAACCACGATATAAAGATTCGTGAATAATTTTTTGGGTCTGGCCCAAGACAACAATCAGTTCTGGTGTTTTTTTTTTCCCCTTACATAAAAGAGAGGGTCAGGAATGAGTTAACTATTAGACTGTTAGTCCCTTTGCTATCTACAAATTACTGCACTGAAACCTAGAGTATTTAACTTACTCCAACCAGTGTAAAATATAAAGTATTTTTAACTATAATTTAAATATTAATAAAATTTAGTTATATCCTTGTTTTTATTTATAAATATCATAAGCTTTTTCTTTTTTTTCTCTCCTTTTCCCCAACAGTTGATAATAAACTAAATGAAAGAGATAATTTTTTTTAATAAAGTACTGTAATATAAGAAAAGCAT